GGGGGAGGGGTGATCGCGACTGTATAGGTCTATCGAGTGTAGTGACTGCAAGTGCACAGTCTATCCCCTAGTTTTAAAAGATATTGAACCCACAAGGACTGGTGGTCAAAACGACTGTTATCTTAGGGTCACTATGTAAAGCTAAGGATAATTATAAATTTGGGTGTTTGGGTTAAATCGGGAATTAACTACAGTCTAATAATTAATAACGGGACATCGGTATGTATTTTATCAACTTAAGGGATTCAGTAAGTCATTGGCATTTGTTTTTATTATTAAAACATGGTTTCGGTGAAACTATTCGTTTTAAAACCCTCACCTCAAACTTCCGTTCTATTGAATCAGATCATATCAGTTAAGCTCGAAATGAACGCTTATGCTGTTTCATTTAAAACTCAAAAGTATTTTTTGAAAACAAATAAGATCCAATTAACTTTAAAGCGCTTCCGTTGTTTTTAAAATTAATGTTTTAGTAACCACTATCTGGTTAAAACCTCAAAATTCCATTTTGTTGATTTTAACCTTAGACTATATCTCTTACTTCCGTACAAAAACAATTAAATATTCAATTGGAAATTAAAACTAGAAAAGTGTTTTTGTAAAAATTAATAATTCCAATTAATTACCGAATCCTTCTGGTTAAGTTCTACATACCGGTATCAGGGAATCTAGCCAGACATAATATTATTGCAGAACATCATAAAATTTAAACGTAAATTCAACAAGACATGCATGGTAGGAAATAAATAAATTGTGCTTATTAAAATAAGAACCTGAAAGTGAATAACAAAGCGATTAATTCCAAACAATGCGTGTCCTCCACAAGCCGGCAGGATTGACTTGTAGTAAAAATAACTCGAAATAAATAAAAGTAATCCTAAGCAAATTCTGGAAGTCTGGAAACAAACTAGTGTTGCAGTATTTCTCCGATGTGGAAAAATACTGCTTTGATGGTGTGTTTTTTATTGCTTACAGAATACTACAAAAAGTGGAAAACTAATGCTGGAAATCTAAACTGGAAAATATCAAAACAGAATACAATAAAATAATGCTCAACAGAGAAAGTGAAATTGAAAGTAATAATATGGGGTAACAATTGTTCAAAGTGCGAGAGAGAGAGAGAGAGAGAGAGAGAGAGAGAGAGAGAGAGAGAGAGAGAGAGAGAGCCATCTTTGGTAACTACTTCCATATATATGCATTCCAAAGGGTGAGAGAAAATAGGAAACGTCCCATAATTCTCGTTCATGAAGCGAGGAGAAAATCCAGGTGAACGTGCGTTTAATGCGCTTCAGTAGCGAAAGGTTCGTAACTGTGACGAATCATGGAGAGCATGGTGTGTATTGTGACGCGGGACACATAATTCATATTCTCCCCGGTCGTAACATTAGACGTGACGAGGGGCACAAAAACTAACTTTGTCCCGGTCGTAACGCCTTTGTGGCGGGCGACACGCTTCTGTTTACAGAATGCTTCATTTTGTTGTTTAATAGCCATTTCTTCTTCATTCTTTCATTCTTTTTCTTCCTTTTCTCATTTATGCCTTGAAAAAGCTAAGTACCTGAAACATGTTGCAAATACTACAAAAAGAGATAAAATGTGACATAATAATCGAAGAATCGAAAATATAATCTATGAAAATTGATATATTTTCGTGTTATCAAACTCCCCTAAGCTTGAACCTTTGCTTGTCCTCAAACAATAAAGTCAGTATAAAAACTAATAAGGCACAAGTTAAATGCAATTTTCATGATGCAATTCGAATCATAAGAGGCTGCCAATGTTTTGCAGAAATGTAAGCTCAACATAATACAAAAGATACGGTAATAACACTGAACATCCCCCATTGTGTAGACCAATTCATGTCATGCTATTATAGCTCAACCTAATTATTTTTGCTAAATTTTACCCGTTTTCATTCTAGCGCAATCACATTAAGCCCTTTGAAACAACCGGCTGAAAATCATCAAACAATGAAGTCGCCATCGAACGTCTTTTATCCCACATGAAGTGAAAGGTAAACATCGAGAAAACCCGAGAAGGGTGAAATCAAGGTCGAACGACCAAGAGATGAGGGTAAGGGAGTCTGTTACGCGAGGGGAAGGTATTAGCACCCCACACGCCCGTAGTACTCTACGGTATCCACTCTTGTTATCTATCTTATGGGTGTGTTTAATCTATGCATACTGTTTATTAATGATACGGGAGAATGCATGCAAAAGAAAGGAGAAAAGAATGTAGGGAAAATAAAATTGTGCTCGCCTGGGCCCTACCCCAATGCCTACGTATCCTTTTTGAGGAATCAGAGCAGCCGTAGTTCGGCTTATATGTTTTTGTTTGTTTGTATTTTCTTTAACGAACAGTATTAATCTCGCCTTCTGCCGCAACTCGACCTTTGGAGATTTACGCGTCAGCACAGAAGTGAATTAATACGCTCTTTTGAAAAGGGTTTGAAAGAAAGGCCCGAGGGCAAAAAGATTTTTATGTTTGTTGGTGTTTTTGCTTGTAGATAATAGCTAGTTAACCTCAAGAGAGAGATTTTAGCCATTTCTCTACTTATTCATGAAATGAGTCTTTGAGACTTAAACCACACCAAAGCTTAGAATAAGAGATCAATAAGGTCGAGAAGAGACCCGCTTATCGTCTCACATACTTAACGAAGATATGATTCTCGTCAGTAAATTTTTTTTGTATTTTTGAAGTTTACGAGAAAAAGAAGTTTTTATTTTTTTAATGCATATGCGAAAAGAAAAAAAAAAGAAAAGTCACAGGGAGACTAACCTATTTCTAAACCTAAAGTCATCATACCATGCAATCTATGGGAAGTGATAAATGCGGGGTGAGAATGGAAATAAAATATACCAAACGAGTACTAGCTCGTAGAGCAAAGTAAAAAGCAAAGAAACTTGATGATCTCACGAGCTGCTAGCATCAACAAAGAAAAGAATTAGAAATCCAATGCTCGGAATAAGTGTTGAAGCATCATCGATGTGAAAATAAATCGCAATCGAAAACTCAAGCATATCTGCATATCACACAACAAACCTGCATAAGACTCACATCTAGAAAAACAACAGTGAATCACAAGTCTCAAGTAATCGAATAATTATGAATTAATTTCTAAAATCAAAATAAAAAATCTAACAAATTTTGATTGATTTTTATCATTTTTATCATGGAAAGATATAAAAAAAAATTAAAAAAAAGTCCTAAACTCTACCTATTTTTCTTATTGTTTCATTAGCATTAGTCTTTATTAAATAAATTTTAAAAGAAAATTTAAACTGAAATAAAAAACTAAAACAATTAGAAACAGATAGGGGGTGAAAATTGGAATAAGGGTGAGATTCAACAACAATGGCGCTAGGGCCCAACTGAAAGGTATGGGAATTCTTTTTGTTGTGTCAATGGCCTCCAAAAAATGTATGGGCTCAAGGATTCGGTCCACCAAACAATATCATGGCCCGATCTTCCATTATCAGCTTTCATTTTAATTCTAAAAAAACGAGGGGAGTTAGGGTGAAGAAAAAGGAAGACAGTTGAGTTTCATCGTGAAGAACTCCCTCCTCCATAACTCACGGCGGTGCAATTCGGCCTCACTGTTCCACCATTTTCCTCTGCTCATCTCTTCGAGCTTCGATTTTCTTCAAGAATCTCTGCCCTCGTTGCTCAACCTTCGTTCACGCTCCGCCTCAATGTTCGTCCTCATCGATCACGGCCGCAGATTCAAACGTCTTCTCCTCACTACCGGAACGAGGATTCCCTGTATTTTATTGAAAAAATGAATACGGAGACCGGTTGGAAGAGAGAACCAAAGATATTAGGTTCCAGGTAAATTCTCGAATCTCGCTTCTGCGACTTCGATCTCTCTACTTTTTCTTCTTTCTTGTTCTCTCTTTGATTTCGATTCAATTCGTCTTCTCATTTTCTTCTTATATACGCGTATGTATTAATGTGTTTCTTCTGAGATGTTGTTGTTGTTACCGTGATGTTGTTACGTTGAACATTGGTGATTGAAATTGTTGTGCACATTGATATTGTGATGATGCATTGATGTTGTAGGTTGGTGTGAAGATGATGAAGTGCGTTGAAGTTTGATGTGAAGATCATGATGAGTGTTGAAGATGTGCATAGATGACGAAATGGAGAAGAAGGTTGAGGTTTCAGAGTGTGAGTTCAGAGAATTTGGAAGATTGAGATGAGGATGGTGATTGTGATGGTGAACTGATGCGTGGATGAATGTGGATGAATGTTCTGAAGCTGGAAAAATGGTGAGAATTGTGGAGTGAAGATGAAGAAATGAAGGTTTGTACCGAGACAGAGAGTGAAGGAATAGTTTCTGAGAATTTTTGGTGAGTTCTTGATCTCTCCTCTTTTGTGTTTTCCTATGTTTGTGAAATAAAGAATAGATCTCCAGACTGAAAATCCCCTCTGCCCGCTTTTTTCTATTTGTGATCCCCTCTATATGCTGGAAGTTTTGTTATTTATAAGCCATTAGTTGGTTATGTGGTTAGTTAATTCTATTAGGAAGTTAGGATGCAGTTTGTTATGCAGTTATAAGTGGTTAGAAGGTTTGAGAGTTTGTTATGAATTGGTTACTGAATGTTAGGTATGCTGTAACTGTTTTTGGGTTAGTTAAGTTGGTTAATTGAGATATGGTTTTGGATAGGAAGTTGTTAGGAAATGTTTTATGAAGAAAAAAAAATTCTGTTTTTGCCTTTTATTATGCAGGTCTTTTTTGTTAAGCTGGGATTCAATTACAGGGTGGTTTTGAAAATGGTTGGGAGGTTTAGAAATTGTTAAATGGTTGTTTGATAGTTGGTTATGGTTTTGAAAACTGTTAGAGATTGGTCAAAGGTTGTTGGGAAAAATGGAAAGTTGGAATTGGTTAATTTCGGTTAGGAGTTGGTTTTTTGTCTTCTGTGGCCTATCACCCTCTTTCTTTTCAGGAACTAGTAAGCTATCATCATCATCAATGGGTAAGCCAAAATCATCATACTTCCTCATATCCTTTCTGCTAATTCCTCAAGAGCAATCTCATTAACTTGAAGCCTTTCAGCCTTTGCAACCTCCATAAACTTCTTTGCCATCTGTTGCTTTGTAGGCTTCCGGTAACTAAGAAGCAAACAGTAGTTCACTAGGCTTTTTAATTTCTGGCTGTAACGGTCATTGCAAATGCAGATAATGGGAAATTTTGATATCTTGATGCTAGCAATAAGATCAGCAACACCACCCCTATCACCAGCTGACATCCCATCAACTTCATCCATAATGAGCACAGTTTTGGACTGCTTTGGCCTATTCATATTAGGGCCAAGGGCCTCATTCGTCACAAATTCCTTGATAGAATTTGAATTGCTTCCGCTAATTCCTTTTTTCAATTTTGCTATCAGCTTTTCCACGGCTATCACTGACATTTACCTCTATGGCCTGGAAACCCAGCTCCTGACACACCAGCTTTGCTGATGTTGTTTTGCCTATACTGGGGGTTCCACTTAACAAGACATCCTTTTTGGAAGTAGAGTCAATTTGCTTTTTCCTTTTTTAATACCACCTGTGTTAGAAAATTGCTCATGCCAACCTTTTAACCAATTTCAAAAATGTAAAACAAGTGACTGATTCCCGATGATATCCTTTGGATTCGTAGGTCGATGTTTCTCTGTCCACATCACATTAGACTGAACAGTGGCAGCTTGATTAGCTTCCATGAGAGCAGTTTGAGGTGGAATAAGCAAACACTAAGAATTACCCAATAACAGCAAACTAGTAATCAATTCCCCACGACACTTCCCCAGAACCTGTTTACTTTTTCCTTGATTTGAAGGGCCGCGTTCAGCTTCTTCAATCAACTCTCTTTCTTCTTCTTCAACAATATTTGCAACCACATGGGTTGTAATGCTCAACAGCAAACACATGCAGGTATCAAGATGAGGTATATGGCCTGCTTTTGAATCCCTTTCCCTTTGAACCAACCGTATTGCTGCAGTCCATAAACCCAAAAATGTATTTTGCCACTTAGAGCCATTTACTGAATGTAAAAGCTTTACCAAACCAGTAATAATTTCAATAGCACTAAAAGCTTCTACTTGCCCTCCCTCCAAAGCATCTTCAAGTATAAGATCAATAGGAAGCCAGAGTGAAGACTAGCTACTACCATAAGATTGACCAGCAAAAGATATTTGAGAACCAGTAGGTGTGACTATTACATTAGACTCCAGCTTAGATTTTGTATTGCGTTCATGAGATACACCCACACGGATATTTCCCATTAAAGATAAAAGGGTGTTTGCATTATGTTTCAAATTCCTCAAAAGTGAAGAGTTTGATGCAAGCAACTGCATTTGGTAATTGAAAGATCCCCAGTGTAATGGCATGTTTCGATGAACTAAGGAAAGAAACCTTGATGTCATTTTATTCTGCAAAAATTCTACAATGATCTCAATCGCCAACTTTGTATTTTCCCTCAGCAACCACTCCTTCTGCTCACGATGCACTCTATTGTTGCAGTCAGGCACATCAATATCCATATCATTTTCCCCTAATTGTCCACCTTGTGGTTTGAAGGATGGGTCTTCTCTAAACATTTGAGTAAGCATATCATCAATGACATTCATATAAGGTCTCAAAGGATCCCGCTTAGTCATCTGCTTGGAGGTTGCTGGGGCAACAACAATAGCATTTGAAAGTTCTTGGTGAGCATCGTCAAGTTTGACAGCCATTTGGGTAATTTTGTGGGAGAGAACTTTCTGACGAGTTGCCCAATCGGCATTTCTCCAAATGCTTTTAGGAATTTCACTTAAACCAAAGCCAAGAAGAAATGCACCCGTAACAAGTCCGAATGTATTTGAGCAAGTCATAGCAAATCCCAAAAGACTCCCACTCCAGCTCCTGTGCATCATAATGAGAAGAATAATTCCGAAAAGGCCAATAGATCCCACAATTAGATAGAAAACCAAATTAACATGTACACTAGTCTTCAATCTTTCTGATACAGTGAAATCCCCTGTGTTTGAGTTTTGGTTTTGGTTAATTAATGGTTTTTCATGTGTCGAGTAATTTGTATGAGCATAGGATATTTTGGCATGATTGCTTGTATTGACTTGGATTTTTTTGTATGAATGTGCAGGTCATGAACTGAAGATGAAGAACTTTGGCATGGCATGGAATTAGAAGTTTACTCATGGAATTTTAGCACCTTTAGGACTAAAGAATTTTGTTCAAGTGTATTTTGTAACATTTTTTTTTCTTTGTAGAATATTGGTGTAATGGGATTGTAATGATTTTATAATGAATGTTTGGTTTGGATGAACTTGAAATTTATAGTGTGAATTATAAATGACCTTTGAGCTTGAAATGTTGGGTGATGAATTTTAAGGACGGAGTTTAAATGACAAAGTCTTGAAAAATGCTTGAAGACATGAAAGCATCAAATTTTCTTGTGAGGTATTGTTACACTTGAATGAAATTGAATATAATTGGATAGTATTTTCTTGAACCATGAATGAGAATGAAATTGAATGGAATTGGATAGTATTTTCTTGAACCATGAATGAGAATGAAATTGAATGGAATTGGATAGTATTTTCTTGAACCATGAATGAGAATGAAATTGAATGGAATAACGATGAACATCTTTGTAATGCGTATAAACTCCGACTTGAAATAAGACCTTGCAGTCTGTATTTTACCTTCCAAGAAACTCATACGACCAATACTTAAAGCTCTTTGCCAACTTTAATCCAATCAAACACTTTCGAACATCTTGAACTCAAATCAAACTTCAAATCCAAATCACACTTGCATTCTCAATAAACTCCTAACTTCAATCTTGAACCCAAATCAACTTAAATGACAAATAATTTGAATAGTCAATAAAATCTTGATCCTAAAAAATTCACAACCTTGCCTTTTGTATCATGCCTCATATTCCACGATTCAATCCACAAGTCTCTTATCTTGACAAAGTCCTTCCCTAAATGACGACCTTAAATCATCAAAGATGGATGTAAATGATAATGAAAGAATATGATCAAGATTAATATGAAACCTTATTTCCTAATCTTCAATTACTTGAACTTTTATCAATGAATAGAAACCCTGATTTTTAATGAATTTTTTCTTTTCTGAACCAATATTTCTTTTCCTTTACCATACCATTATTCAAATGCAAATCGAATTCCCAACACATATTAGATGAAAATTCAAGGGAGACCTTGGTCCCAAAGTTAATTTTTCAAAGCTTACTTTAACCGAAGTCAACAGATCTTATCCACATATCTTTGAAATTGGCCCATGATTATGCATCTCAAGGTCTCATAAGAACTTGTAAGCCCATCAACCAGGTATGCCATGTTGAACAAAACCCTGCCTTGAATGCCTTGAACCTTTAATCACCTTGCATGAATTCTTTCCTGAGAAACCCACTTCAATCCCAACCTACTCGCATCGCAGATAAAAAATGACACTGATGAGGACAATGATTGCCTTGGTTAAGGAGAAATCTATGAATTCATATCTTAGGTCATGAACCACGCTTCACAATTCAATCCCCAGCCCTTAGCGATCGGTTATTTCAACCTTACGATCTTGATTCCCCGTTTAGATGCACAGAGAAATATCCGGATAAAACATCTTTGAACCATGATTCAACAAAATCTAAATTGATTAACTGAGGAGTAGATGAGTGTCATGTCACAGTCATTAATCCTAATCAACTGACAAGCATACTTATAGGAAAGGATGCCATGCTTCAAAATCCACATATGTTAGGTCACGTCCTAGAGTTCTTGACCAGAATGACCTACAACCAGTTGTTCAACAAAAGATATTAGCCCAGTAACTTAGTGGAGAAGAAGTCCAGAAATGAGCCTTGAACCTTAATTCCAAAGCTTGCTGCATGAATAAGAAATCATCCCTTATTGGATACGAGCGCCTTAACCACTGTGAAACCCTAGTATCGCACAACCACTGAACTTTGAACCTCAGAGCTATATTGAATTAAATGTATGCCATGTTAGTGACCTAATGAAATATATGCAAATGGATGCAAAAGTCTAAGCCAAAATAAAAGAAATTAGGAGGGCAAATTTTGGGGTGCAACAGTTGCCCCTATTTAATCGTCTTCAACCTGAAGGTGAGATTGGCGTCAGCCTTTTGAACTTTCAGGGTGGAGGAAGATTAAATACTAAAAGAACCCGAAAATTTGTGCTCCGGAGTCAGTCAGGTATTATTATATCTTTGGATTTTCTGTATCTTTTGTATTATATTTTTTTGGTAAAAAGGATTATGAGGGTTAGATGTATGTTTAACCAGAGTTTGACACACCGAAGGATAACTTGGTTATCGACGAACTTCTGTTGGGATTTAGTAACAAACACCTGTAAGAAAGATATCAAAAGATATATGCATGAAGTCTGTAGTAGACATACGAGAAGAAGTATCAGAGACACATATCCGTGGTCGGTATCAGATACGTACAAAAGAGACATCAAAGATACATATCCGTGGTCGGTATCAGATACGTAAGAAAGAGACATCAAAAGATACAAGAACATATGTCTGGAGTTGGTAGCAGACATATAAAATAGGTATCAAAAATACATATCCGTGGTCGGTATCGGATACGTAAGAAAGAGACATTAAAAGATACATATCCGTGGTCGGTATCAGATACGCACAAAAGAGATATCAAAGATACATATCCGTGGTCGGTATCGGACACATAAGAAAGAGATAGAAATGATACATATTCGTGGTCGGTATCGGACACGTTAGAAAGAGACATCAAAAGATACATATCCGTGGTCGGTATCGGATACGCACAAAAGAGACATCAAAGATACATATCCGTGGTCGGTATCAGATACGCACAAAAGAGATATCAAAGATACATATCCGTTGTCGGTATCGGATACGCACAAAAGATAACAAAGATACATATCCGTGGTCGGTATCGGATACGCACAAAAGAGATATCAAAGATACATATCCGTGGTCGGTATCGGATACGCACAAAAGAGATATCAAAGATACATATCCGTGGTTGGTATCGGATACGCACAAAAGAGATATCAAAGATACATATCCGTGGTCGGTATCGGATACGCACAAAAGATAACAAAGATACATATCCGTGGTCGGTATCGGATACGCACAAAAGAGATATCAAAGATACATATCCGTGGTCGGTATCGGATACGCACAAAAGAGATATCAAAGATACATATCCGTGGTCGGTATCGGATACGCACAAAAGATAACAAAGATACATATCCGTGGTCGGTATCGGATACGCACAAAAGAGATATCAAAGATACATATCCGTGGTCGGTATCGGATACGCACAAAAGAGATATCAAAGATACATATCCGTGGTCGGTATCGGATACGCACAAAAGAGATATCAAAGATACATATC